CTGAGCTGAGCAGTGACTTCGTTCCAGTGAAGTGCTCTTGAAAAAAGCCAGTCTGCTAAGTGTTGTAGGCAATTTACGCCGTCTGACTCAAATCACGTCTCATGATGGCGCCGCGCCTCGTGACCGCAGGGCAACACCAACGTTTTAACCTCTGTGCCGTGGTCGCCCATCCAACGGCTGATCTCCACCCTCACAGAGCGACAGTTGAAAGGCTGCAGAGTCTCTTAAGCAAACAGTGATGGCTAAGCACTCTGATGAGCACCTGTAAGATCTGGGGGTCATATATCAATTAAAGTGGCTCCAAAGAAGCATATGCTGTGATACTTTTGGAAGAACAACTGAAGCAGCTGTAGGATAGTATTAATTTTTATCTAATTAGGTGAATTGAACAATCTGTAAATACAGCACTAACCGGTTGGTTGCTGTAAGTACGTATAATTTACAAATCAGGCATAAGATTAAGCTATTAACGCTGGTTATCTACTTACGAAAGCTGTTAGCAGGTGGTACATATAAGCCAGATTGGACATCTTTTTTTCTTAAAGTTGATAAGATTTTAAAAGCAGGGAAGATGGACAATTCTAAGGACTACAGAAGTATCAACAAATCTAAATTGTGAGGTTTTGACTACAGGGGTCAGTATTTATCAAAGTTTGTCAAAAGATGGAACAAAGTTTGACCAAAGTAGCTCATATTACTGAAGAGGTTATATGTCCAAAGTTGATGTTTCCTAATCTAAAAATGTGAAACATTGAGGATTCACCCAAATATTCCTCCATTTTTTATTCATTATTATTTAGGTTTCTTTAAGTCAGTCCAATTTAAACAAAGATTATCAGCAGTGTGATCAGAAGAATATTTCACTCCTTAGCTTTAACCAGCTTTTATGACCATTCAGCCAGGTGAAAAAAACAGGTGGTTATAGGGAAACAGGAAAACAAAGAACACAACCTAAGAGCCAATCATCTGACCGCAAAGAAAAAAAAAAATACTCAAAAAGATTTAACTTTAAATAAAGGACAAAAAAAATTATTCTATGTTACACATTTTATTTAATTGGTTTTAGGAAAAATATTTTTTTTTTTACTTTGCAAAACAAATTAACATGAAGAAAGCAATAGAAATCTGAAGAAAAAAATATTTTATTGGACCCCTGGGTTAAGCAGCTTTTTTAAAGTCTCAGAGATCCAATAACATGTTCCAACATGTTGCAAAATAAGTAAATTTTTATTTAAGTGTGTAAGCTTTTTGTTGTTGTTTTTTAGGAGAGGCAATTTATTAGTACAGTTGAGCTTCAAAACCACATATCTGACTGCTTCTTTCTTTTTCTTGTAAGTTGTGAGGACATTTGATGAAAGTAGATTTCCCACTAGTAGTTGTTTTTCAAATTAGTTATTCTTAAGGAATCAGATTTGGACCTTCGAAGATTAAGTCAAATATAGGGGTGTGGGCAAAAATCGATTGGGTGATATGTATTGTGACTTTTGGCTGCCGATAAAATATCGATCTTTCAGGTACTAATGTCGATTTAAAAAAACAAAACATTTAAACTTAAAACAATGAGAGAAAATAGGTTATCTCTGCACCACCGCTCTGGTAGATGGCGCTGTGGAAACCCTTTGCTGTGCAGCGCAGAGCCATATCTGTAGTTGAGGCAGTCATGACTCAAACCCCAAACATCATGGATGCCAAAATAACTAACTACCTTTTCTATACATTTAATTTGATAGCTGGGAAAAACATCACAGTACATAGTGATATTCTAATATCATGATAATATTGTATCGTAACCGAAATATCGTGACACGTATAGAATCTCAACACCAATGCCAATACTCACCCCTAATCTAGTAAGCCCTGCATTAGAACAAACACATTTTAGTTTTTAAACTTAAAAACAGCAGTTGAAGGACTGGGTTTCAATTTGTTTTTTTGTACTGGATGGATATCATATTCTACTCTAATAGGGAGGCATATGAGACAAAATTCCCCTCTTTCAGATACTCTTCTAATTGGCATGCTTTGAGTTTTCTACCGAACAAAAGTACTGGGCACAGAGAGGAAAGAAAAATCAGACTGAAGAAAGTGGAGGGAAAGAGGGAGAACTTTCCAGCAAATAAAAATATCATCCATTTCCAGAAAGTGGCCTTAATCCCCTCCTAACTCTATTACATGTGGGACGCTTTTGCTGAAAAGGTGCAGATGAGCTAAACAACAGACAGAGAAAGCCCATCCCCAAGCAGCAGCTCATTGTTGGGATACTTTAACTCAATTATCAATAAACACAAAAAAGGTCTGCTGAATGCATTTTGTGTGGAGAAACAATTTTAATTTCAGATATGGGTCCAGGCTGAAACTGGGCCACTGCAAGCTTTGATGTCTTAATTGTGTGTGCGTGTGTGTATGTGATGCTAATACCAAGGAGGCTTATTGATGGAACACCAGAGATGGAGCAGAAAAAAGCCAAAAAATCTAAGATATGAAAAAGAAGGGAGAAAGGCAAACAGGAGAAAAGAGCACAGTCGGAGAGAGAAAACCAAAAAAAGGATAAAAAGAGACAATGAAAACCACTGGGAGAAAAAGTGACACAGATGCTTCATTAATAAAAGCAAGAGTGACAGAGCTGAAGGTGGTGTGTTGAATAGGCCTTGATTAAGTGTGCAACAGGGTCAAAGCAGGGCCTCTGTGGAATATTGGATAATAGTGTTTGAGAAAACAACGGTGGTCGTCGCTAAATCTTCTTTGTCTTGTTTCTCAGGCTTTAGTTAAATCCCAAACTAGCTAAAGACAAACACAGTCATTTAATGTCTGGATAAAAATCGGCCTCTTTTTCTCATCATTTACTAACTTCTTCAACATTTTCCTTTTTAGAAGCACAAATGTTTAACCGAAAATGTATAGAAGGAGACGGTTTTGAAACCGAAATGCATTTTTACATTTCCTGTATAAAACTTTAGAAAAGTGGTGTTTGAAATACGTTGATCTGAGACTTAACTTTAAAAAACTAGTGGAATAGTAAAGGTATTTTACAAATAAACATAAAATATTTTAAACTTAAGGAATATTTCTTTGAACTTTCAAGGAAGCTGAACTATATATGAGCTACATCACGAGTAGCTATAAAAACTTAAATATTTGCATGATTAAACCAGATAGTCACTCAAAGCAAATACAATTAAATTGAAATACGCTTTGAAATCTATGAAACTTTTATCATACTTAAAAAAAACTACATTTTCAAGCAAGTCTGACATTAGTTCCTTTGACACCAAGAGTTCTAAAAACCACAATAAATAAATTCCTCACTTTAATATTCCTCACTTCCTAACTAAAACAATTGCACATTTCCTTCTTTCCTTTTTTAAACATAACATTACAGCTGCCGCTAATATTTAAAAACCCAAATAGAATAAATTTCACCTTAAAATTAAGGAATTCAAGCTTTTAAGTTTCCACTCACCAATAGGTGCAATATAGTGCAACTGTTGATATTGATTGTGCCAAACTGTATTTAAAGGCCTATATCTAGCCTTCTCAGTAAAGTAGATAACGGCACATAGCTTTATATATGTTGTTTTCCAAGCTCCATGTTGAGCTGGTTCCCAGTGTCTCAGTGATTAAATGTGACTAAAGATGACAGTAAAAAAAAAATGCATTTTGTGCCACTGTTCTTCTAATTGTAAAAAGTTAGTTTAAACTTTAAGTGTAGAAGCTATAAATACATCTATCTTTGCTTGTAAATGAAGAGTCAACTTTCCCTAAATGTTTCAGTCACACTTATGTCATACTGAACTCTAAAGACAACCAATCATTTTACAAAAGGGGAAGGCAAGGCTTACAGAAGGCAATAACCAGATGAGCTTATTTGATGAAGTGGTTTTGGGTCACTGGTGTGGTCACCTCCAGAAACATTAAATATAGACGCCTCGTAAAAACAGTAAAAAATAAAAAAAAGTACTCCTGGTTTGCTCTCATCATCAGACCCTTTCCAACAAGTCTGTTATAATACTGCTTCCAAACCTGTTCCAAAATGCTATCTAGTTATTTTCATTTCCAAAAAAGCTCCATCCAGAGCACAGATCTGTTATACAAAATGCATGGCATAGGCTTATATCATAAAGAAAAGCCAGTTGCTAAAAGTGTTTGAGGCATTTACGCCTGTCGGGGAATTTTTACTTCTTTACATAAAGAGAAACTGAAATGAGCTATATTACAAACAACATTAATTAGCGTTCGTGGTAATGAAGGCAAACACAATTAGAGAGTCATGTTACCCATTAACTGTAAATGAGAGAAACATTTCTTCTGGGGCTGCACAGCTATAATAAATGATGGACTGGCGATAATATAAATCATTAAGGTGCTTTCATCATTCTCTCTAGCATTTAGAGCACTGTGGCCTGTGTCAGCCGTGGCCATCACATGCAGTGAGACTCTACCTGCAGTTTTAGCCGCAAACCTTCTAAATGATTCAACCAGCTTTAGAATGCCTGAACATCAGATTCATAGTTGGATTTAGGTTTGAGTGTTGATTGGACCATTTAAACACATGGATATGTTTTTATTTGCACCATTTAATTCAAGTTCTGAGAATGCTGCCTCACTGTATAGGGAAGCTTTTATGTTAGCTTCCAGGATTTCTCTGTATTTAGCTCCTACCTCATTATAAAAATATTGTTTTTTGTGCGTAATAAAGTCAAAATATGGGTAAATAAAATACAGAATAATGGGGATGATGTAAAGGCAACTGGGGTAATATTTTTTATTTCAAGAAATTAAATAAAAGCAGGTTTTTTGAACAGCTGGTGTACATATTCAAACCAGATGTAGAAAATCTCTTATTATTTTCTTTCATTTTTATAGTTATCCCCTACTTAGTGTTGGTTTAACCTAATATATAAAACAATACCAATTAAATTACATTTGTGTTTGATTTCACAATGCAACAAAATATGGCAAAGTGTATGAAAACAAAAAAAGTTTGTTTTTTTTCTGCTCACCTGAGGGCTGATGCTGGGGCCGTAGCCCATGCCAGGCGAGTTCATGGAGTGCGGCCCCATGTGTGAGCTAATGACTGAGAAGGGTGAGGTGAGGCCATTCATTGGTGAGCTCAGGGTGCTGATTGGAGAATGGAGAGAGCCAGAGGGCCCCATGGAGGTGGGACTCAGCAGAGAAGGGTGCATTCCACGATGGGAAGTAGGCGAGCCTAAAGGCGAGGAGGTCACCTGTCCTGAAGAATCTGGTCGGGGAAAAAAAAAGGGTTTTATTAAGTAAGATCACAGACTTGACACCAATTTTGTTTCGCAGCTTAATGAGTTCTGAAACTCCATAAATGTATATTTTCCTATAAATCCTTAATGATCTGTTTTCATGAGCACAACTAGAAGATAATTACAGCTTTTCTTGACCACAGCTGTTGGCATCCAGAGTCTGGCACATCTGGGAAAGTGTGAAAGCAGGTGTCAAATCTGGGCGCTATCCAGGAAAAACTGACAATTTAGCAAAAACACCTCAAACTATTTCATCAGGATTAGTTCATAGAGGAAAAAGTGCTCAAACTAACACGAGGGCCAAGTGGGAATTAGCTATGTCTACACAGTGGCTCTGCAGCTCTTTCTGGTTCTGTCCCTCAAACTTCAAAAGTGCCTCCCTCAGGACTGCAGGAGGTCAGCATGCAGAACAAACCTACTGTATAATGCATGTGGCCGATGAGTGGGGTAGTAGACCTGAGAGGAGGGGAAAAACATGACCTTGCAGCTGAGCCCAGGAGAAAACCTGCAGCTGGTTTGTAGTCAGAGACGGAGATAAAGCTATGGTCTTGTATGCAAGAGCTCATCTGACTTCAAAACCTATTCTTTACCTTGACTTAGAAGGTTGTTTAATACTCAGCTGTCAACAAAGAGATCTAAGACAAACATGAATGCCAGCAAAGACATAGTGATATTGAAACTTTTGGAACAGGATTTGTTTATATTTTGATAAAAACTTCTTCCCTGTTTGACTCATATTTCAGTGCTGCTGTTCGCTCTCCATCTCTTTCTCCATCCATAATTTCTGCCTCCATGTTTTACATTCATTTTTCTAAAATGAATATCCTTCTTGTTGATAAACCAATAGAAAAGAAGTATTACTTTGCAGTCCTTTTTACATTTTTAGGTGTAAAAACAACAACCACAACCACAATATTAACAACCACAATATTAACAATAAATAAATTGATATACTTAAGCAAAACTTCAGAAAGCTCTGAGATCTCCAACTAGGATAGATTTTCTTATGTTTAACATTTTATCAGATAATA